CAATTCTCCTGCCTCAACCTCCTGAGTAGCTAGGATTACAGGCACGTGCCACCATGCCCAGCTAATTTTTTTTTGTATTTTTAGTAGAGACGGGGTTTCACCATGTTGACCAGGATGGTTTCGATCTCTTGACCTCGTGATCCACCCGCCTCGGCCTCCCAAAGTGCTGGGATTACAGGCTTGAGCCACCGCGCCCGGCCTCATTAACTATTTCTTAACAAAATGTTGGTATTTGAAAAAAATTCTCCATATAATTCTATCTGTTCTTAATTTTTTTCCTCTTCCATTAAGAAAGTACATTTTATTAAGGACTAGGCTTTAGGTTTATCATACCAATGACAAAAATAGCTTGAACCTGGATCATTTTAAAACATTTTGTAATCGGTACCCTCAATATTTAAAAATGAAAAGTGAACAAAAAAATGACTTTAAGCATGTCTGAGGTGTTCTGAAGCATATCACATGCCAACATTAATGCAAGTTGATTGCTTCAAGTTTATTCTCCCAATCAGTTGCACATCAGAACACACCACATTGAACACACCTGCTTTTTCAAGTGGCACCGTCCACAAATACTTTAAAAGTATCACGGCCTAAAAAGCCTCTTGTTTCCTGAAACAGTTACTCATAAACTATAACTTCTCATGCCTTCTACTCTGGAATGGAAGGGTAATACAAATGAAGAAGAAACCTGGCCAATGGGCAATGTGGCATTTCTAAATGCTTCTAATATCAAAAACTTAGATAAAATATTTGGAGAATGTTAATTTTTTATTTTGTTTAAGACAGATTGAAGGGCCTGGTGCAGTGGCTCATACCTGTAATCCCAACCTTTTGGGAGGCCAAGGCGGGCGGATCATCTAAGGTAGGGAGTTCGAGACCAGCCTGACCAAGATGGAGAAACCTCATTTCTACTAAAAATACAAAATTAGCCAGGCGTGGTGGCAAATGCCTATAATCCCAGCTACTCGGGAGGCTAAGACAAACAAGAGAATCGCTTGAACCCATGAGGCGGAGGTTGCAGTGAGCTAAGATCGTGCCACTGGGCAACAAGAGCAAATCTCTATATCAAAAAACAAAACAAAAAAAAGATTGAAATCTTTTATAGATCAAAAAACGAGATAATAATAGCTTTTAAAAGTACTATACTTACTGTTTCTTCAATCCGTTTGCATGGAAAGTCCCAAAGGTTTTCAACTTGGAAACAAATTGGAGGTGAAATGCATATCGCTCGCAGGTCCAAAAGATGCTGCCTAGCAAACTAGCAATTGCAGCGCTGTTGTGATTTCTTCGCAGGTCCTGAGCGACGCAGGCAAGGAGGCAGGTAGGCCTCGGTCCGCCGCAAGCTCACACTTAGGAGGACCACTGGCCGCATGCTGCCGTTGTCAAGGCAACGACCTCACTCTGTCCCCAACCACAGGCACAAAGTCCTGGGAGACAGATAACGGCCCAGATCAGAATGCGTTCACGGCAGGCACCAACATCTGTGAAGGCCAAGGGCTAGAGAGAAATTAGCTGGGTGAGAGGCACCACCTCCCAGCTCATAAGGCCCCTAGTCCCTGGAGTCTGTAAACCTGCACCACTCCAACTACCCCTGGACTAAGGCGTTGGCCGCGGAGCTGCAAGGGGGCGGTTCCTCACCCGCCCTGAGTGCGCCAGGCCTCCCTTGCTCTGATTGGTCGAGCCCTGTCGTCACGAGCCATGATTGGCTAAGGGCCAACCACCCAGCCCCTTCACCTAGGGTTCGGCCCAGGTTCTGCTCCCTGACGCGCAGAGGCCCTGCGTCCCCACACGCCTTGGTTCTCGCCAGGAGGCGCCTTTCTTCCTTCGTGGGGGGCAGGAGGCGACTGTGGTGCCCACTGCGAAGACTATGCAGAGTGTGATAAGGTGTCCCTCACAGTCATGCAGCTGGGGCGGGGAGGAGGAGGGTGGGAGCCGGGCGCCCTGAGTCGCGAAGGCGCGGCCTGACCGGGATTCCATGCTTCCTTTTCGTTCCAGGCGATGGGGCCCCTCTGAGCCAGGTAGGATATGACGGTGACAGTCTCGGAGGTGACTGATTAGTAGGCGAGGCAAGGTGGAAGGCAGGTAGGTGATGACAGACCTGACGTTAGGAGGGACCTTGGAGAGGCCAGTCTGGCCATTGAAAGTGAGGAAAAACACTTGGAGATGGAGGAAGGGGAAGAGGGCGTGAATGGAATGAGGAGAGCGCTGGGATGGCTGAGGACCTGGAAGGTTTGCACAACACCCACATATGGCACCCCATATGAGGTGGAGTTGGGGCTTGCGATAAAACTTGCCTTAAATGCAAAAATGCTACTCAATCCATGACTGAGCAAGACTGGTAGGCCAGAATCATGCACAGGCTTAAGTTACACGGGAACAAGGCTTTCCCTATTTTCAAGGGATCTGAGGCAGCTAGGAAGCCATAAGACCAGTAAAATAACACTTTCAATCATGATAACTAAACGTTTCATAATCATTTTGGTCTCTACACTACTTTGATTTAGGGAATAGAGTGTCCTGGATAGCACACAAATGTCTACATTATACCCTAGTCAATATTAAGGTATTAATAATTAAGGTTAAGGTATTCATTCTTTCTCGTACATTAGGACATAGACATTCTGTTTATAGTCTTTTGTGAGTTTGGTTAGTTTGCATTAATCTCCCAGTGGTTAATTACCTTGGTCAAACTGCTTAAAATCTAGTTCCTGAACATTAGCAATCATCTCTTAAATTACTCTTCACAACAATCATTTTCTACATATCTTGACATCCAAAAACAATGTGCTTGGGCCATTTTCTTGCCCATCCTCCAGTAATGCCCCCCGAAAGCCACTCACTTAGGCTCCATGAGATCCTGATTGATTAGTTTTTGACATCAGCTCAATTGAATCACCAAGTGAAAGGGCCATAAAATCTGTAGACTACAAAAGATTCTCAATTATCAGTATATTACCGAACATGCAACTATGAATACATTTCCCCATTTTGTTAAGAAAATGGACTGACTCACTTTGAAGTTTTAAGATTCTTTGATGGGAGGACATTTGCTAAACCTGGTAGTTTAATGACCTGATTACTACATTAAAAGATTATGAAGACTAGATTTGAAAATCTAAAGTATAATGTGCCACTTATTTTGCCAAGTTGATTGAACATATACCACACCTTGCTGTATCAGCCACCAACATCTATACCATAGTGGTTGTGAACATAGGAATCCATTCCTCAAATATTAAAAATAGTATATATTCTTTCCTACTTAACTGTGGTAATAAATAAAATAGTATACATTCTGTTTGTTTGCACTGGTAACGTGCCTCTTATTACCCTGATTTTTCATTTCCTTCTAGCCTCACCCCATTCCTCTGTTCATCCTCATAGCAAAACTACAGAAAAAGTTAGTGTTCATTAGTTCCATTTCTGATCTCCAGTCCTCCCTTGGGCTTCATCCTTATTACTTCATTGAAATAGTTCTTACCAAAGTCACTATGACCTACATCCTGCCAAAGACATCTGTGGTGGAGATTACTAGCTGCCCACAATAAGCTGATTCCTTTTTTGCCTGTATGCATGGCTTATTTTTTGCAACCTCCATGAAAGTTGGGGATGGCTATGTGATTAAATTCAAGCCAGTGGAATATGAGATGTGTATGTTCCCATTGCTGGCCCATAAAAATCTGGCACTCATGATCCTCCATGCTCTTTTCCCCTTTTAGTTAGTTATATTACAGATGACTCTGTGATCTTGAAGCTACCTATTGAAGTTGATAGAGTCTTCATTCCCCTGTCCCTAAATAACTAAGTGGGGGGAGGGCCAGACCACTTGCCTTTTCACTGCCACTCTAATACTTTTTTTTTTTTTTTTTTTTTGAGACAGTCTCACTCTGTTACCCAGGCTGGAGTGCAGTAGCATGATCTCGGCTTGCTGCAACCTCTGCCTCCCGGGTGCAAGCAATTCTCTGTCTCAGCCTCCCAAGTAGCTGAGATTACAGGCACTCCACCACACCCAGCTAAGTTTTGTATTTTTAGTAGAGACAGAGTTTCACCATGTTGGCCAGGCTGGTCTTGAACTCCTGACTTCGTGATTCACCCGCCTTGGCCTCCCAAAGTGCTAGGATTACAGGTGTGAGCCGCCTCGCCCGGCCTACTTTTTATGGGAAGGGGAGAAAAAACTATTGTATCTGAGCCATTAGACATTTTGGGATCTATTTATTATAGCAGTTAGCCCACTCTAATTCACTTGCTATTTTATTTGAAATTTCAGCAGCGTTTGACACAACTGCCTATTCTTTCCTTCTGATAAACTCTTGATACTTGGCTTTCCATGACACCAATACTTATCATATTTTGTCTCCTTGTTTTCTTTATATGCTCCTCTCCTGTACTGTAATCCTGTTTTGGAAGTATGTGATGTCTCAGTCGTCAGCATTTTCTCTTAAGTGATCTCATCTAATCCAAAGGCTGCAAAGATCTATTTGCACCATTCACAGCACAGACTTCTCAGAACTCCAGAATCACACATTTAATTGCCTGACATTTCTTCTTGGCTATCCAATTGGCATGTGAAACTTAACATAGCTAAAACAGAACTGTTGATTTCCCCTCCACAATCCACTTCTCCTCTTTCCCTATGAGTACCCATAGGCTTCCATCCAAGCTGCCCCAAAACCCTATGAGTCAACCTTGAATATTCCCTCGCTCACATTCAAAATACAACCCCTAAGCAACTTTTATAGGTTCTGTCTCTAAAACATAT